CACCGCCCTGTAATCAAGATCATGATCATCAATATCAATCAAGCAGAATGTAGGCTTTTATCTTCACCGCGAGGAGCCAAACCTGGGTAAAACTCGCGTCTCTCGATTCTGACCAAGCCCGTTCAAGCTACCACCTAGTTGCGGTGACCTCACACCTAAGTACTTCTATGAGAACATCTGTCGTTACAAAACCATGACATACTGGGACACGTCCATCCCAACGCCCTAGCCTGATGTGCACCCCCCGAACGACTAGCACTTAACGTGAAAAGGGTTCCAACACCAGCAGTTCTGGCCTCCGGTCGCACACGGGCGGCGGAGATCCGCCGACATCAGGAACTACTGTCGAACGACCTCCTCGACGATTCGATTTTCGCCAAGGTGTCCCCTTAATTACTGGGACACCTGGTTTGGCAAGGAGCACGACCAAGGCTGCTGCTCATGCTTCGTGCGTGCACGTGCTCCAGCACCATCGTGCGAGCATGCTCCAGTGTCCGAGCCGCCGTGGTCAAGAAGATGAGGAGGCCAAGGATGACACGCTTAAGCAGGCACTTGAGGTCTCCGCACGGATGAGCTCACTTTATTTTTTGACAGTAAAAAAACATAACGGATGAGCTCACTTTGTGGCCCTACCTACCCTAGCGCTCCATGCATCGGTGATGAGGCCAATGCGTCCACCTTCACGCCCACTGATGACCCACAAGTGTAGAGAATCTATCGTAGACTTTTCGATAAGTAAGAGTATTCAACCCAACAAGGAGCAGAAATAATTGACAAGTAGTTTTTAGTAAGGTTTCACTATAAAAACTGTAAAGATAATTCAAACCTGGTTTTGGTGGAATGGAACCTGCTGACTCAGGATTAAGTTCTAGATTTGGTATGGGTGCTTGCACTTTTTTGGACTTATTATAGGACTTAACAGTTTTATTCTTTTAGTGGTATAAGCAACGTGCCCGTCGTCAGCAAGGTTGGTATGGGTGCTTGCACTTTTTTGGACTTATTATAGGACTTAACAGTTTTATTCTTTTAGTGGTATAAGCAACGTGCCCGTCGTCAGCAAGGTTGGTATGGGTGCTTGCACTTTTTTGGACTTATTATAGGACTTAACAGTTTTATTCTTTTAGTGGTATAAGCAACGTGCCCGTCGTCAGCAAGGTGCATGTAGCAACTTCGTCAATCTCAAGACCTATTGAACCAGTCTCTCGAAGGTGCACATAGGGTTAGAATGTGCACACATGTGTTCGTAGCCGGGAGCTCCTATTCGACGCATTTTGCGTCGAACAGCCAGCCGACGCACGCACAGACCCGTGACTGGGCCGGCCCAATAGTGGGCGCTGTAGCAGAGCAGCTATGATGGAAAAAGAACAAAGCGTGAAAAGGGTGTCGAGTAGGATTCGAACATACGACCTCCATCTCGTGTACCTGAGCAGCTAACCAGTGGAACCAACAAACGTCAGTGTACAAATGGGAGCGTACACGCATAAGAACTACTCGGACAGCTGTTTTGAATTTTTTGGAACTTTATCTGGAAATTCTGATTCTTTGTAAAAACAAACAATTTTTGAAAATCTAATAATTTCTTGAACAACTCAAATTTTTTTCTAATTTTGAAAAAATAAAATAGAAACGTGAACATGTTTCAACAGAAAACATTTTGAAATTCCAGGATATTTGATGAAAACCCAAACATTTATTGAAATTTGAGAAACAAAAATTTAATACAGGGACCAATTTTTGAACAGTGCAAACATTATTTTTAATTCCAGAATATTTTCAAAAACTAGAATATATATTGAATTTGAGAACAAAATTTGATAATGGGAACTGTTTTTTGCTGAACATTTCTCGTAATTCTCAAACATATTTTGCAATTCCCGAACATTTTTTGGAAACACGAACATCATTTGAAAACAGGGACAGTTTTTAATATTCTGAGCTTTTTCGTAAACATGAACATTTTTTGAATTTATGAGCGAAATTTTAAAAGAGGAACAATTTTTTAAATCACGAATTTATTTGGAATTGTTAGAAATTTTTTTGAAATGGAGAACAATTCAAAAATCCCAACAAAATTGAAACATGAACAAATTTTGAATGCATGACCAAAAATTTGGAAACGAGAACATTTTTTGAAATGCCGGCCATTATTTGAAAAGTTCTGATAAATTTGAACAGAAACATTCCAAGAAAAAGAAATGCTATAAAATTTGTATAGCGCGAACTCTAATGAACAGAAAGCAGCGGCAGATTTGAAACATTTATGATTTTTCTTATATTCCTTTGAAATAATGAACAGTTTTGAGATTGTCATTCTTTCTGAAAACACAAACAAATTAAAAAAACGTGAAAAAATTTCGTAATTCCAAACATATTTCATAAACAGGAAGAAACGGTGAACAAATTTTGAAATCTGGAACTTTTTTCTAAAATGCGAACAATTTTTGAAAGTTCTGAACATTTTGAGAAAACTCAAACATTTTTTCAACACACAAACGAATTTTGGACATGCGAACATATTTTTTTGGAACGGAAACATTTTCTAAACTACCCAAAAAACTGCACATGAACAATTTTTCAAATTTCAAAACAAAATTTGGAAACACAAACAACTTTTGAGTTTCCCAAATATTCTTGGAATTTGTGACATTTCTTTAAAGCACAAACATTTTCTAGATCTTAAGAACAAATTTTGAAACAGAGAACAAATTTAGAAGCACGAACAATTTTTTATAGCACGAACAATTTTTGAATGTTGAGAACAAATTTTGATATGGAGAACAAATTTGGAAGCTCGAACAATTTTTGAAAGCACGAACAATTTTTGAATCTTGAGAACAAATTTTGAAATGGAGAACAAATTTGGAAGCACGAACAATTTTTGAATGTTGAGAACAAATTTTGAAATGGAGAACAATTTTTTTAAGCGCGAACAATTTTTGAATGTTGAGAACAAATTTGAAAATGGAGAACAAATTTAGAAGCGCGGACAATTTTTTAAAAGCACGAACAATTTTTAAATGTTGAAAACAAATTTTGAAATGGGGAACAAATTTGGAAGCGCGAATTTGAAATGGGAAGATTTTTTGAAACTCCCAAACATAATTTGAAATGTGAACAAAAAGAAGACAAAATGAGAAGAAAAAGGAATTGAAAATGAAATAAAGAAACAGAAAAACGAAGAAAGAAAAAGAAAAAACAGGGAAAAAAACAAAGAAAAAGCAAACAGAAAAAACCAGTGAAAACCCGGTTCAAGAACCTTCTAGAAGGTTCCCAAAACCGTTCAGGAACCCTCCAGAAGGTTCCCATAACCGGAAGCTGCAGCCCCAGCGCTATCTCCTAACTGGGCCGGCCCATCTTGATCGCTATCGCTAGCTCTCTGTGCGAAGCCTCGACAAGTCGACGCAGCGAGCGTCCAATAGGATTTTCCTTCGTAGCGTAGTGTATGTATGTGTTTGTTGTTGAATCATAGATGGGCTTTAGGCCCATATGAACAACGATTCCTGTTTAATCTTGAGGCCCATGTAGGATATGGCAGGTGGTGGGAAATTTAGTACCACCTTGCTAGTTGAGAAGAGTTGAAACCCCTTTATAAGGGCTGCTCTACCACTTGCCATTGGGAGGCTGGGAGCTTGGGAAGAGGGATGGTACATGCACGCTCCTCCTCTGCCGCCGCCCGCCTCGCCACAACTCGCCGAGCCGAAGCTTATTTTTTGCTGGTCAGGAATGAATTAATTAATCTTGGATTAATTAACGAGTCGCTAATAGATGCGCCACTGTCTGAGACGTTGGACCCTGGCTGGTTGCATTCCCGGGATACGTCGGCTCTCTTCATGGGTGCACGACTCCTCTCCGAGAACGAAGACTCCCTTCCCCGGAGCGCGTCGACTCGGTCGTGGGCTGCCGCCCAGGCCCACGACTTTCTACCCGACGGCCTATATAAGAAGGCTCTGGTCAGTAGAGTGAGCATGTTCAGTTTACTCACTCCCTCACGTGTAACCCTAGCTGTCATCTACTGTTGCTCACTCTGAACTGCCTCCGGCGATCCCATCCCGACGATCGCGTGCATGGTTGATCGGGAGAGTAGGTGCCTCCGGAACCCTACCATTCGGGATCCTGTCCAGGAGAACGGCAATAAGGTTTTTGGTGAGCGTCTCGACGCGACTGCCCCGATCCATCCCCGTCTTCGTCCTCCTCTGCTTCCACTACTTCCTCTGCATCGACACCATGGTCGCCGCCGCTGCCGCCAAGAAGAAGGCCACGAACGACGCCAAGGCCGCCGCCGCCGCCGCATTGGCTTGGGCAACCGGAGGGTATGATCTGTTCATCCCTCATTTACCCGTACTTGTGCTAGCCTATATGCTCTGATCATAGATGGTTCGATTCTATGTACTATACGTGCTAGTATGCTTAGGAATCGGTATGAGGTGCATACCGTATTTGTCATGCTTACTGCTTATTTGTGGGTTAGTCTAATCGGAAAAGTGCTAATATTTCCAACAGTTGTAAGTATCTGCAACTGTGCCGTGTTTGGGAAAAAAAAGTTGCATGTATATATTTTTTTCTTCCTTTTTTTTTTTTGCAAAAACCAACAAGCGTGGCTGGAGCCTTTGTCAGACCCCCAAGAGAAATATAAACCGTTTGTAAACCGGGAAGACGTCACGGCCCGGTACCGCAGACCGGCCGGCAAATGGATGCAATAAGCATGGCCCACTCATGCACGTCATGTGGTTGTTACAACGGACTCGTATACGATGCGTTTATCAGGGGGACACCCACCACAGGGCAAAATTCACATCCCTTTCCCCCTCCCCTGACCGGAGGCAGGGGAGCATCGAGCTGCACGAGACCACGGATCCGCCGGCCCCTATGTGCGTGCATATGTACTCCCAAGTTTGAGTGCATGCTTCCCTGGCTAGCAGCAGCAAGATAGGTGGCCCTGCCCACCTCTAGTACATATATACACGGAGAGACGGCGATCGATCGGCTGCAACGATCGATCCATGGACATCGGCGCGGAGACGCAGAAACCGGCGGCGGGGTGGGAGTGGAGGACGCCGGCGTCGATGGTGCTGGTGCAGCTGTTCATCACGGGGATGATCCTGCTGTCCAAGCTGTCCATCAGCGGCGGCATCTTCATCTTCGCGCTCCTCGCCTACCGCAGCCTCTTCGGCGCCGCCGTCATCCTCCCCCTGGCCCTCATCTACGAAAGGTATATATTCACTCTTAATTATCCTTAGCTTCCAAAAAATCTTCCAACAAACTGGAAAAGAAAACAGTTGCCAGTTCTGATCCCATGCATGGTATTGTGGATTTCGGTTGCGCGCATGCAGGGGCAAGTGGAAGGAGATGGGCTGGCACGCCACGGGATGGATCTTCCTCAACGCCTTCATCGGGTACGTTTGTTCATCAGTCCAATGTCCAAACGCTGTTACATCGCACCTGCGCGCATGCTGACGTGCAAATGATTGTCAGGAACTGTTTTTCTTTGTTTATTTTGTTTGGGTACCTCAATGGCCTAGTTGCTCCATATATATCGCCACTAACTTAACTATGTACGTAGTTGACTTTATATATTTTTTATTATAACGGTGGATGCTGTACCTCCTGAACTCTTTAAGACATTATTTCTGGTGTAGGTTAAAATCTCCTATAAAGGATCTCTCATTAGCAAACTTCGATTAGATGCTTGACTAGCAAATGAACTTGTGATAAGTCAAAGCCGCCATACTATAGTGATTAGTGCTAGGGTACATTATTCTCTCCAAGTCAGCTACATGTTTATATAGTAGACTTATATAGTGTTTGGATGACGAGAGCTTCAGTCGTAGTCGTAGAGAACAGTACCCCTCAGTCCCTCACATAAGGAAAGAGAAAAGTAGTCACATTCATTTAAGCTAATACATAGCTGATTTTAGAGAGCCTTAGAGGGCCATCTGCGTGAACAAAATACTAGTCCAAACAATATATACTTCTATGAACTAATTAAATGAACATCATATAAACTAACTCAAGTGACCGCGCGTCGTGATGTACAGGTATGCAGTGCCGATGAGCTTATACTGCTATGGCCTCCGTGACACAACACCATCTTACGCCGTCATCTTTGTGAACCTAATTCCGCTGGCCACCTTCATACTGTCGCTTGTATTCAGGTACCAAATTGCTTCATTATTTGTGCATCACAATAAACTTAGCATTTATTTAAATCAACTCCTTGACAACCCACAAAAGGATGCAAACTCGGGGGATGGATTCAAATGTTCTAACTGCTAATCAACTTTCATTATATTTTTATCTTATTTTCGAACACACGTATGTGGTATATATGCTTGAACATTTAGAATGGAGACGTTGCGAATCTGGAGTGTGGTTGGATCGCTGAAGATCACAGGCGTTCTGTTCTCTGTTGGAGGCACAATGCTCATTAGCCTTTACAAGGGCAAGGCGTTGCATCTCTGGGATCCCATCCTGAAGATCGACCCCAAGGAACAAACAACCGAGGGTGCAGGCAATCAACTAAGAGGGACAATATTCTTGGTAGGCAGCAGCTTCGCATATGCTTGCTGGTACCTGATCCAGGTGACCGTCCATGCAGTGACATGTTGCTGGTATCCCTCGTTCTTTGTGTTAAGTACGTTGCATTATTTAGTATACGACTTGGGAGATGTATGCTCATTTAAACAGTACGTAAAACTAAACCTGAACCCAGTCCTCTCACGCCCTGAGCCATTTCAGCCGTCAGATTTCATGTTAGGCTAATTGACATCCCAGTGTTTGTATTTTTCCTGGCCCAGTTGTTCTAAGGGATTGCTACTCCATGAGGAAATCTGAGATGTGGTTCACTTGGCCTTTTCGACGACCCATTTATCACTCGCAATAGCATGCATGCTTGTTGAGAGGAGAGACATGAGAGTATGGGAGTGAGCTTATTACTTGCATGCATTCTAGAGATGGAAGCGACATCATTGAGATTGTTAATACATCTAAATTTTCAAAAAATAACAACTCAAAAACTATGCCATTAAGTTAAGATCCCTGTTCACTGTCATCTTTCACTAGTAGAAAAGAGGGCTTTAGTCCACCCCGGGTTAGCCCATTAGTCCCGGTTCAGTCCAGAACCGGTACTAATGGTGGCATTAGTCCCGGTTCGTGCACCCAGGGGCCACGTGGGCAATTTGTCCCGGTTCGTTTGGACCTTTTAGTCCTGGTTGGTGCCACGAACCGGGACTAAAGGGTGCGATGCCCATTAGTACCGGTTGGTGGCACCAACCGGGACTAAAGGTTAGACCTTTAGTCCCGGTTCAAGCCACCAACCGGTACTAATGGGGTTTGAGGCATTAGTACC